CAACTCATCAAGGAATTTCTACCCGAGAATCCAGAGATTTCTACCCGAGAATCCAGAGATTTCTACCCCGAGAATCCAGAGATTTCTACCCGAGAATCCAGAGATTTCCACCCGAGAATCCAGAGATTTCTACCCGAGAGGTTTCAATCCATCCAGAAGACATATCACGGTCATCATGGTCCAAATTCCATCTAGTTGAATGAGATTTTAGTGTCTGCATAATATACGCGTTAATACAAGTTTACCATGTCAGAAATCGTTGCTCACTTTCCTTACAGGTCATGAACACTTTAATAAGAGAACAAATGGTTTCGCTCTTTTGAAATGTAGAGACCAGGGAATTTCTCCAACTCATTGCATTTTGTTGACTGTTCAATGAGACATACGTTGTGCCGAAACAAATGCTTCAAACGGAAATTAGAGAAAATGAACATGTAGGGAGCAACGTTGCGTACTGGAATTTTTCTTCAAAGAAAGTCGAATGCAGTTGGTAGGTCATCGTGCTCCGTCAAGAACACATTAAGCACAGACGATACAGCAGTATGAATACTGACAAAGGCTTCATAAACGCGGGGCAGTCGGATATTTCGGAATAATTCAACCACGAGTATTTTGACATAGATATTAAGAAAGGCAAAGGAGAAGAAAAATGGCCTGGCATTGTTGTAGTAAGATCTAGCAAACACTTACGTATCCATTCCTCGTAAGTTCGTAGAATTGCCATTAGAGAGAGGTATCATATTCCAGACACAATCAGAGCATTATAATGTTTCGATCATTTTCAATAGTATGTGATTCTACAATGGAAGGACAGAGACTTGAAGTTGGGATACTAACAGGATGTAAAGTGTCAGTTATCTTGTTCACTATAGCTATGAACCTCATCGTGAAATAAGTGGGGAAACCTAACAGATGACCATTCGTGTCATCAGGTATAAGACAACCTTAATTGGCATTAATAGATGACTTTGACACCAAAAACAGTTATAGAGAGTAAATGGACTTTACATGAGTTAGAAGGAATGGTAGCTTGGGATGAAGTTTATACCCAGCAAATCAAGAACATTTGAGGCTGGGAAAGGCAAGATGAAAGATGAGACATTTGAGTTAGCTGAGGAAATATTACAAAAGAGGACGAGGCCGCCGTTAATTGCTTCCGAATAAGTCCGACGCTAGTTTAGCGCTGACGATAACAACAAAAAAGAAGAACAATAACCATTGGAAAAGTGTCTCGAAAAAAAAAGATGTACATGAGTGGCCTACCAGGAAGATTCATAGCCTGGGTACACCAAGACGGAGTATTGCCTCATATTTGGTTACCACTACTGGTGTATGATTTTCTCACTTCTAACGTAAGCTATTAAAAAGGGAAATCACTTCCTCTCTCATGAATTGTACAAAAGACGTGCAAAAGAGCTTCAATGACGACGCTGCACATATTCATGACGGAGGAGTTCAAGGTCAGCAAAATTCGTCGGGTGATGATGATGAAGGACAGCAAGGGCGCCAAAGTTACAGGAGCAAAAGTGAAACGAAAACGGGAAGGAAATGCAAAGCAGAGGAAGCAGTAAAAGAGACTGAAATATGACTGAAGCAAAGTGTCATTGTAGGGGTTACAGCTGTCTGCAGGCAAGGATTAGACATGGCGACAAAGCCAAGATAGGACACGGTTGATGAGAAAGTGTAGACCTGAATTTGTCCAGCAAGAAGTTCGTCAAAATGAGGAAGAAATTATATCAGTATGATGCTTATACAAGGTGCTAGATCACGATCCGTAACATGGAGGGATATCTGGAACATGGGGGGGGGGGGGGTTTTCCTTAATTTCTGTTGAGTTCAGTCCATGATGTATTACCTAGTACATCAAACCTTTATTAATGGGGCCTGAGCGATGACCTAATGCGTACATTATGCATAGACAATCCAGCAACACTTGATTAAGTGTTGTCATTTTGTGCAGCAGCACTGAGAGATGTCAGATATATATGGGGGCACGACAAAGTGTTTAAAACAATAGCCGCAAGAGTAGATACAATCCGGAGAACTTTGTAAGAAGGAGGTGGACAGAACAGAGGCATTCTTTTAACAGCAGCAGACCGGCAGATGACAGCAGAAATCCAACAAGCATGAGCTTCCAAGAAACAGCAGCGACATCGCTAAGACAAGTTATCGTAACATGGTCGCAGGGCACCAAACAGACGATAATGTGCCATGGGAAGAAAAACAGAGCAACAGGTGGAAGTTGGCAAAATGTTCAACAACCTTACGTGTTGAAAATCAAAGGGGAAGAATATGTAGTGCCTGCCCATCGAAGTAGGATGCTGACAATTTGCAAGTCAGTCAGTGTGGCGAATAATGGTAAAGACATCGGTAAAATTACCATGTGATGATGGACAGTTAAGTACTAACAAAACTTGTCAAAACAGACCAGCATATACAGATTCAATTAAGTATTAACAAAACTTGTCAAAACAGGCCAGCACCTAATGATGGAACTAGATCAGCATATATATACAGATTCAATTAAGTATTAACAAAACTTGTCAAAACAGGTCAGCACCTAATGATGGAACTAGATCAGCATATACAGATTCAAATAAGTATTAACAAAACTTGTCAAAGCAGGCCAGCACCTAATGATGGAACTAGATCAGCATATACAGATTCAATTAAGTATTAACAAAACTTGTCAAAGCAGGCCAGCACCTAATGATGGAACTAGATCAGCATATACAGATTCAATTAAGTATTAACAAAACTTGTCAAAGCAGGCCAGCACCTAATGATGGAACTAGATCAGCATATACAGATTCAATTAAGTATTAACAAAACTTGTCAAAGCAGGCCAGCACCTAATGATGGAACTAGATCAGCATATACAGATTCAATTAAGTATTAACAAAACTTGTCAAAGCAGGCCAGCACCTAATGATGGAACTAGATCAGCATATACAGATTCAATTAAGTATTAACAAAACTTGTCAAAGCAGGCCAGCACCTAATGATGGAACTAGATCAGCATATACAGATTCAATTAAGTATTAACAAAACTTGTCAAAGCAGGCCAGCACCTAATGATGGAACTAGATCAGCATATACAGATTCAATTAAGTATTAACAAAACTTGTCAAAGCAGGCCAGCACCTAATGATGGAACTAGATCAGCATATACAGATTCAATTAAGTATTAACAAAACTTGTCAAAGCAGGCCAGCACCTAATGATGGAACTAGATCAGCATATACAGATTCAATTAAGTATTAACAAAACTTGTCAAAGCAGGCCAGCACCTAATGATGGAACTAGATCAGCATATACAGATTCAATTAAGTATTAACAAAACTTGTCAAAGCAGGCCAGCACCTAATGATGGAACTAGATCAGCATATACAGATTCAATTAAGTATTAACAAAACTTGTCAAAGCAGGCCAGCACCTAATGATGGAACTAGATCAGCATATACAGATTCAATTAAGTATTAACAAAACTTGTCAAAGCAGGCCAGCACCTAATGATGGAACTAGATCAGCATATACAGATTCAATTAAGTATTAACAAAACTTGTCAAAGCAGGCCAGCACCTAATGATGGAACTAGATCAGCATATACAGATTCAATTAAGTATTAACAAAACTTGTCAAAGCAGGCCAGCACCTAATGATGGAACTAGATCAGCATATACAGATTCAATTAAGTATTAACAAAACTTGTCAAAGCAGGCCAGCACCTAATGATGGAACTAGATCAGCATATACAGATTCAATTAAGTATTAACAAAACTTGTCAAAGCAGGCCAGCACCTAATGATGGAACTAGATCAGCATATACAGATTCAATTAAGTATTAACAAAACTTGTCAAAGCAGGCCAGCACCTAATGATGGAACTAGATCAGCATATACAGATTCAATTAAGTATTAACAAAACTTGTCAAAGCAGGCCAGCACCTAATGATGGAACTAGATCAGCATATACAGATTCAATTAAGTATTAACAAAACTTGTCAAAGCAGGCCAGCACCTAATGATGGAACTAGATCAGCATATACAGATTCAATTAAGTATTAACAAAACTTGTCAAAGCAGGCCAGCACCTAATGATGGAACTAGATCAGCATATACAGATTCAATTAAGTATTAACAAAACTTGTCAAAGCAGGCCAGCACCTAATGATGGAACTAGATCAGCATATACAGATTCAATTAAGTATTTACAAAACTTGTCAAAACAGGCCAGCACCTAATGATGGAACTAGATCAGCATATACAGATTCAAATAAGTATTAACAAAACTTGTCAAAGCAGGCCAGCACCTAATGATGGAACTAGATCAGCATATACAGATTCAATTAAGTATTAACAAAACTTGTCAAAGCAGGCCAGCACCTTATGATGGAACTAGATCAGCATATACAGATTCAATTAAGTATAAACAAAGGCCAGCACCTAATGATGGAACTAGATCAGCATATACTGATTCAATTTAGTATTTACAAAAATTGTCAAAGCAGGCCAGCACCTAATGATGGAACTAGATCAGCATAAAACTTGTCAAAACAGGTCAGCACCTAATGATGGAACTAGGTCAGCATATACAGATTCAATAAGGTATTTACAAAATTTGTCAAAACAGGCCAGAACCTAATGATGGAACTAGATAAGCATATACAGATTCAAATAAGTATTTACAAAACTTGTCAAAGCAGGCCAGCACCTCATGATGGAACTAGATCAGCATATACCGATTCAAATAAGTATTAACAAAGGCCAGCACCTAATGATGGAACTAGATCAGCATATACAGATTCAATTAGGTATTTGGGTGTTGTTGTAAATCTCTAAAATGTGTGATTATTATTACAATATACGCATCCCACAGTTTCATCTTTAAGTGGAAATTTCATTTTAAAGTTGTCAGTAACAGCAATATATTTTTACCTCTACCATGAATGCAACATGCTACAGTTGAGCCTTGTATCATACAGAAACACAACAAATAGGTGTCATTAAATACATAGAGCTATTTATTTATATTGAATGCACATATAATTTCAGATATGACGCCATTTTAATTGAGAATTTACACAATTTCAGATTCGACAACATTTTAATTAAGAACTAGCTATCTAATTAAGTACTCCTAACAAAACTTCAAAGTGAAGATATGAATTATTTTCTATGTTGCTATATTTTTATTTAAAACTGATCAATAGCATAATTAAAACAAAGCCATACGAGATATCACAGAAAGCGCAATCAGGTAGCCTGTTACATGTACAAGGTGAACCCGTGTTAGTGAGCTGGATAATAACGTTTGCATACGATATGGGGCATTCAGAAAAATGGAAATTTAATCACGTAAGACCGCATCATGTCATAATAACTACTCTTTCGAAACTTGCATGTATATTTCAAAACTGAATTTCACATAAACATGAAAATTTCTGTACATGAAGGACCCGATGATCGTGCTTACTTAGAAATTTAACTTTCAATAGGCCGTAACAGGCTGTTGAAACCGAGTATCTCAAACACTTTTTAATGTTTTTTTCACACTATCCAGACGATGTTCAGTATGTACCATAAACTATATCTTTAGCATTTTTTCTTTCTTTAAATAACAACAAAAGCCAATATCTTCAACTGGAGAATGATTTTAGGTCTATTTATAATTCAATATGTTTAATGCAGTGATCCGAAGCAAGTTATGTGAAAGTAATTTCGTACTACAGGTGATCTTGCTAAACTTTTTATTTTCCATACTCGATGTTACACAGGAGGTAGATATAACACTTTAAACGTGATAAAATTTGTGATTTTCATTTGTTTCTGGATACCTGAGGGCGAACAAAATCCTCAAGATTTATTTTTGTATACTTTTTTTTCTGTTATGGTATAGATATTCATCATTGAGACAAAAATTAAAGTAAATTCTGTTGCATTACCATAGATTGACTGGGCTACCTTCTGTTGGTATGTTGACTTGCTTCCTCTTGCTTGAATAAACAAGCACATTGTTGGTTACAACACTAAACATAATAATGCATAGATACAATGTATGTTGGTGGTAAAACAATAGCACTTAAACACTTAAACTGTCTACGTCGATGCTTACACAACTCATAACATAAAAGTTAACACAGAATGAATGGAAAAGAAATTGAACATTTTTTTTTACAAACAGACGTTTCCAGTGATAATGTTATTTTTCACAATAAACAAAATGATCCTGATGATAAAACTGCAACCCTGTGCACACACACATATATATATAGGTCCATGATGATACATGTATGTGATCAACGTGCTGGCAATGAGAAGGGAAATAACTCTGACAAAGGTATCCTCTGCGATGAGAAGGGAAATAACTCTGACAGAGGTATCCCCTGGCAATGAGACGGGAAATAACTCTGACAGAGGTATCCCCTGCAATGAGAAGGGAAATAACTCTGACAGAGGTATCCCCTGGCAATGAGAAGGGAAATAACTCTGACAAAGGTTTCCCCTGCGATGAGAAGGGAAATAACTCTGACAGAGGTATCCCCTGGCAACGAGAAGGGAAATAACTCTTCCAGAGGTATCCCCTGGCAATGAGAAGGGAAATAACTCTGACAGAGGTATTCCCCGTGTGATGAGTATTGTTGCTCAATGGTCTACTCTACAGTCCTGTATTGAACTATTTTATTTAAAATAGATTTTTGGACATTGATACTCATAAAAGACAATTTATTATAAGTCATGTATACTTACTTGCATTTCTATATAAAAGAAACCTTTCAACCAGTGAAACACTCACCCTCTACTGTAGAAATACTATTTATAGTAATTTTTGTACTTAAACTTACAGTCATGGATATATTTTTCAATATACAGTATAAGTTAATTACATATACATAAGTATGGAACATTTTCATATCTTAACTCTTAAATAAAATCTTGGAGTCACAAAATTCTCCAATTGTCAGATGGAGCATTAGGGTAGACATCTTTGCACCCTTTTAATTTTTTTTTGAAAAAAGAATTGTCATGTGTCATCATGAAAATATTAAGAAGAACTATTTAATATCTATTAATAAACCATAGCACATCTTCTTTCATTTACAATCATCCAAAGCTTCCTACAAAAAGGTCCATGTAAACCAAACTGCCAACTCTCTACTAATGATGTTATAGTTACTGTTAAACATGTCAATCGGTAAAACATATAAAAAATAAACAGTGTCTGTAACAATCTATATCTCAAATCAAATTGAATAATGGCCAAAATATTAACAACCTCATGTACATAATCTTATGTTTAGAATCTCTACACTTGCATTTAAAAAAATCTGAGCAATGTGTGCGTGCAGTAAAGCCCATTTTTAGGATCAATAATAAACGATGATTGTCCAATTAATCCACAAAAAAAACATATATAACCTACAAACATAGGATTGAATTGATAAAGCAAGGTACACTGTTAGTTGTACACTAATTACCTATGACAATTAGTTGTACATTAATTACCTCTGACAATTAGTTGTACATTAATTACATATGACAATTAGTTGTACAATAATTACCTATGACAATTAGTTGTACATTAATTACCTCTGACAATTAGTTGTACACTAATTACCTATGACAATTAGTTTAATATTAATTAAAGTAAAAATAATGAATTTTCATATAAATAGGTAAAAACATGTTTTAAGTAAATTTGGGTTATGTCAACAAGGAACATGTGTTTGTTTTTCCCACATAAATATAACTTCTTGAATAAGTTATTTGAAATGACGATACATATGAAGAACACAGCTAACAATTTACTGTAGTTTATTCTCAAATGTCCAATCTAATTTTTTTAAATCTTTCCCCTGAAGGAAAATACACAAAATATGCTTATAGTATTATATTGTAAAAGTATACATTTTTATTTGGGATTTTTAGAAAATTCACAAAAATCAACCACACAAAAAAACATTCCTAAAAACATTTTACTCGGATGCTTGAGTAGTGGTGTCATGCCAATCAGCTATATCTTATCACAGTTGTTTTCTTTAAATGCCATCATCCTTGGCAAGGGTTTAAACATAATAAGTTGATACTCAACTGCATGTGATAAATAATATTATGTCTTTAAACATGAACACTGTCAAATAATAAACCAAAATCTCCTCCAAATCGCATTGTCTGTGTGTTTTACTGACGATAACTACAACAGTATAGTCATTTAAAGGCTTGCATTGAAGGCAATTATAATAGTTAAAGGAGGAAGCGTTTAATTAGCTCATGCAGCAAGCATAGAAACTAGGATTACAGCAGTGCCTCAAATTTAACTTTTGACAAGCAAGCTACAGTTACTCTTCTTGTTCAACACCAGTTTTACATCTATACTAGGAACAAGTGAGACAGAGTATACGTTATCAATTACATCGTTATACAATACCGTCTGTTCTAACCGACTGATACTCTAGATCTGTATAGATCATTCCAATACGATGGAATTAAAGGCATTACAATTCTGTTCTCCTGAAGTTCAATGTGTCCCTCTTACCTGTCAGCATTGGATGACTACTCAATTATCAACTTGTTAATATGGCTTATAAAACTAAGAAACATTTGTCATGTTAGACACATGCAGACTACAAATGATTTTTTAAAAGATAATTCCATGAAAAATTAACCCCAACAAAATTTCATGCTTGTACAGTAAGTAATTTTATATATTTACATGTACTACTGGGGCTATTTATCTTTGGGGATAAAACAGGTTTGATTCACATAGATTGTGGCACCACCCTAAAGGCCTGTAAAATACAGGAATAAAGATAACATCGGGTTTGGTTTAGATAAGTAACACAGTAATTGTTTGAACATAATATTTCAATAAAAAACAAATAAGGAGCAATAATATGGACAAACCGTAATAATAAGAGCCATTTCCTTTATATCTCATCATACACAGTCATATCACATATATTGGCATCGTTATAAAGGTCACTTTAAATGTTGTTGGTTTCTTTCTCACATCGCATTGTTGTACACACTTTCATCACAATCCTTCCTGGCCATCCTCAGGGGGCTCATAATACCGTGGACCATTTATCTGAAATTAAAATGAAAGTACAATAATCTATTTCATTTTAACAACGTCTGGATTGATACAGCTACCACGTGATGCAGAAAACGTGTCATGTATTTAGAGTACAGCTGCAAGTTATCCTTATCTTGTAGGAATAATAGGTTTTAACAAGAGTACCGAGGGGCGGAACAATATACGCCCATCGAATGCAATACAGTGTTATTGTTACTGAAAAGAACAAAGGGCAATAACTTTTGCAAATATTGTTGAATCGCAATTCTTTTAAGGGGGACACAACTTCATATCGTGATTATAATGTATACCAAGTTTCAAAGAGATCCGTTGAAAAAATGTAGGTGGAGATTACCGGACAAAAATCAAATACTGAAATAAACAAAGGGCAATAACTTTTGCAAAAATGTCCAATCAAAATTCTTTTCAAGGAAACACAACAACATATCATGATTATTTAGCTTACTAAGTTTCAAAGAAATCCGTCAAAAAATGTAGGAGGAAATTTCCGGACAAAAATCAAATACTGAAATGAACAAAGGGCAATAAGTTTTGGAAAAAGGACAGGATCCCAAAGGGAGGTAATACAAAGACTGTGAACACCCTATGGTTTGCAAACTTCATATATTGCTATCTATATATTTTAACTTGTTCGTTATCTGTTGGGTTAATTGAAAATTTCTGTTAGTAGCTTGCTAAGCTTATTAATATTTTGGATAACTGGGTCAAGGTGACAACAAGTCTTACATACCTGTATACCATAGTTGGTAACAAAGGATGGCACTTCTATCTGGTCGGGTGTTATAGAGTCTTACATACCTGTATATCATAGTTGGTAACAAAGGATGGCATGTCTATCTGGTCGGGTGTTATTGAGTCTTACATACCTGTATATCATAGTTGGTAGCGAAGGATAGCATGTCTATCTGGTCGGGTGTTATAGAGTCTTACATACCTGTATACCATAGTTGGTAACAAAGTATGGCATGTCTATCTGGGCGGGTGTTATAGAGTCTTACATACCTGTATATAATAGTTGGTAACAAAGGAAGGCTCGTCTATCTGGTCGGGTGTCATCGAGTCTTACATACCTGTAGTTCAGAGCTGGTAACGAAGGATGGCACTTCTATCTGATCGGGTATTATAGAGTCTTACATACCTGTAGTTCAGAGCTGGTAACGAAGGATGGCATGTCTATCTGGGCGGGTGTTATAGAGTCTTAAATACCTGTATATCATAGTTGTTAACAAAGGATGGCACTTCTATCTGATCGGGTATTATAGAGTCTTACATACCTGTAGTTCAGAGCTGGTAACGAAGGATGGCATGTCTATCTGGGCGGGTGTTATAGAGTCTTAAATACCTGTATATCATAGTTGGTCACAAAGGATGGCACTTCTATCTGGTCGGTTATTATAGAGTCTTACATACCTGTATACCATAGTTGGTAACAAAGAATGGCACTTCTATCTGGTCGGTTATTATAGAGTCTTACATACCTGTATACCATAGTTGGTAACAAAGAATGGCACTTCTATCTGGTCGGGTGTTACAGAGTCTTACATACCTGTAGTTCAGAGCTGGTAACGAAGGATGGCACTTCTATCTGGTCGGGGGTTATAGAGTCTTACATTCCTGTATATCATAGTTGGTCACAAAGGATGGCACTTCTATCTGATCGGGTATTATAGAGTCTTACATAACTGTATATCATAGTTGGTCACAAAGGATGGCACTTCTATCTGGTCGGTTATTATAGAGTCTTACATACCTGTATACCATAGTTGGTAACAAAGAATGGCACTTCTATCTGGTCGGGTGTTATAGACCGGTACAGGTACTGGACACCTTTCAGACTGAACACCTTATTCTTGATGTCTGATGCAGTGAATGTCGTGAAAAACCAGGTGGCAAGCTGTCAGAGAAATCAGGTCAAATAAACCAGTTATTATAGTGAACATCATATGTCACTGTGTATAACAATGTTTTATGGAGCTGAAGTAAGGAACATATCCTATGAAATCAAATGTACATTGTACTCTTCACTATTAAAGCCAAATATATTAAGTAACATATCGTAGCATACACAGGCCTACCTTACAACATAACATCTATGTGAATTAACGATGTACTAGGTAAAGCAGAGACTTTTCTTTTTCTGGACAGTTTGTTATGTGTTATTAACTTTTACTCTATCTATATATCTTGGACAGTGACAATTGTTTTATTAAAACAAAAGTTGTACAATGTCTGTAGATTTACCTTAGACCACCAGGTGGGATGAACTATATAGAAGGCTTTTAAATTCTTTTTGTATCTGAAATAAGGCAACACACTTAAAATTATTTGAGAAATTTTCCCTATTCACTTAACCCTTAAAACAGTATCTTAACATGAATTTGAAGCAAAAGTTCTTTTTTTTTCAATTGTTGAAACAAGATTCTTTTATTTGCTGAGCATGACTTGATCTCATGCTAGTTCATGTTATCTTGTTGTTAGAACATCTAAGTCTGTGATGTTGTATTCTTAGAAACCCTGAATAAGCTAATCAGTTTGTTTCGATATTTTTCCTGTTACAGGTAAATTCTGCTGTACATACTTGTGATCTAGAAAACTGTTCAATAAATCTTCTACACATTACAATTTAAACCTTTATTATTACAGGTAAATTCTGTTGTACGTACTTGTGATCTAGAAGACTGTACACCTGGCGAAGGTAGTTCATGGGCGGGTGATTAGAGGCGTTGGTCTGTGTATGGAGGTAGACCACCACAAAGTCACTCTCCACAACCGGCTCCATCACCCTCAACATGTACAGGAGGGCCTGGCAACAGAGCCACACTTAACACTTGACTGATTAGTTACGACATCACAACCCACCATACAATGAATCACTCAAAATCATCATTATCATACCAGTAACCATACCACACACATGTTTTATCTGACGTTACAAAAAGCACAAGTTTTTGTTCAAAGAAATACATCCACACAATAAACAAGTACTATCCACATCATCAGATGAAGGCATTTGTATAGTATTATATAGCTGCTATAAATCTGTAAAATGTGACTCATTTTTATTCTGTATTCAGTATTAAAGTTCTATTTTCTTCTTAAAATCCTTAACAGATCAACAATGGCAGAAAAGATGATATTGACGACGTAATAAAAATGTTGCTTTACCCAAGTATAAAATGGCACTGTAGTATTTGGACCCCATTCTTGTTTTAAGTAGGTAATTTGATAGTGGACAACAGATGAGTTCCCACCAAAACAAAGTCCTGTCTACTCGGGTAGTTACTATCAAATGCTTCTACATTGTGTTATACCTTTTCTAGGTTTACAGTCTCTCCAGGAAAGTGTTTTCCAACATAGATGACCACTGGGCGGCCAAATTTGTCCACACCAGTCCTGTACAGACATTTTAAGGCCGCTATATCCGTCAGGTCCTCTGTCTTCGCACGCTTCATTAGCCTCTCATACCTGTCAATTACATAATAAATATAACTGCTGCACTGAGATGATAAAACCTAACATACTGGTATCTGTTCAAATAAAACCTTCAAACCAACAGCATTATAACATGGAATATAAATGCATCAAAAAAATATTTACGGAATATTAAAAGATTTTATATATATTGTAGGTCTATGTCTAGTATTTGTATAGTGTTCTATGACAAGTACATGGATTACTTCTGTCCAGTTCTGTGAAGCAAGTTTCATAAATGCTGAATAAATCTTAAATTTCAAACCTTCGTCTACTTTCAAGTATCCGCTGTTCATCCGTTGTTTTTCCCACAATGGCAGATTTCCTCATATCATCTGGATTCTCCTCCATCTGAGCAAATGGGTGCTTGCCTACCTCCTGGACAGTGGAGGTTGCGAACTCTTTGTTGAGGTCAACGGTTTCTTCAAACTCTTCACGCTGACAACCTGAGGAAGAGGCAATTCAACTGGTCAAGATTATCATTACTTGAACCTTTCTGACACCAGAGAAGGAGCAAAGATATTGGTCAATATATCTAAAGACATTTCTGCTGCCATTATTGGTACATAGAGAAGACTTTTCCAGAATAAGATTTTATAAAATTTCACATGGTGTTTCTTTGTGCTTAGCACTTTTTGAAAAAAATTGCTGCTTTTCAATTCTAACTTCATATACAACACAAAAATCTGACATTTCAATTAAAAGCTGAATCAATACTAACTGCAAAAAGATTCTAACAATACTCTGGGTGACCTGAAAATAGAACTAAACTTTTATGTCCAAGTTTGTTTACAGCAGAATTAGAATTTAGTTTGGTCAGTGACTCAATCTTGTAAAAGACATGTAATAAACAGAATAACGGAAGGATATCAAACAGTATGTGTTTGCTAATTTGTAAGAAGATATGATTGTAGTAAAATATACTCTGTATACTCCAGACAGCCCTGGGACCATATTATATTGCCCTTATTGTCGTACATTGTCATTGTCTCAAATAAACTTTTTAGTCGATATAACAAACATTTGAACTGGGTAGAGTCTGAGTTTACAGAGTGTACTGTATTCAATAAAGTAACATCTTCTTAATATTAGAATACCTATGGTTTAAAGTTTACAAATCACAGCTATATGCTACCCCTTTCTTAGTCCCAGATTCTTTTTAATAACATGCACATACATATAAGTACCCACAGATACCACCCTCATCAAAGGCAGCATACCCAAACACTCCATGAATATACTGTACATACGCATGGAGGCGAAAGCTGGTTTATCCATGATCCTGATCTGTCGTTCTGCTATGATTGGTTCCCCGTCCTCGTTTCCCACATTCTCCGGTAACATACAGGACGCCATAGCTTCCTCCTTACTGCTACGGGGGAAGTACAGGGGCATGACCTTCTCATACACTTCCTGTTATAGTCAAAAGTAACGAGAGATCAACATTGTTTCTTTCATTTCAACGTTTCATAAAATAAGCCAAAGAATTTTCTTTAAGTAACATGGTTTAATGCATCCAGCATATAAAAGATTTATTTTAACTATGATGCTGATAATTAAATCCATTGTATCATCTGTTTTCTATGGCAAATGTATACACAACCTATTTGTCCCCTCTTAAAAAGAAGTCCAAAATGTTCACCTAATTAGAGAGGTAATGCTGACTACATGTATACTGAATTCATATTGACATGAAACAAAACAACATTTGGTGAGGACCATGAGAGCAAAATTTCATCTGATCTGGTCAAAATCTGAATGGTGATTACTGGTAACGAAAATTGTGAATGAAAACAAAGCAAAGTATTAAAGTAATGTACCACCTCTGAATCAAATTTGGAATTAAATATAAACAAAGGGCTATAATTCTATTACTTGGGGCACAGGACTCGATTTTAAACAGACATTCCACCTATGAGTTACTCCCAATACAAAATTTGGCCATAGACAAAGTGGCAAATGGTGAACAAAGTGACAAATGGTGAACAAAGTGACAAATGGTGGACAAAGTGACAAATGGTCAACAAAGTGACAAATGGTCAACAAAGTGACAAATGGTCAACAAAGGGCAATATATATATAGCTCTAGACAAAGTGACAAATGGTGAACAAAGTGACAAATGGTGAACAAAGTGACAAATGGTGAACAAAGGGCCATATATATATAGCTCCGTACAAAATGGGGCATGACACCTAATTTTCGTATGAAACACTCTGCCATCCCAAAAGTTATCACATACAAAACTTTTAGGTGAAGGGTATATGAAATATTTTGAACAAAGTGACTTGCTGACGAACTGACTGGAAGACGAAGTCCAACTCTATGAGAAAGGGGAAGGAGATTTATAAAGTGCAGTAGGACAGATACTTAGGGGAAGTCGCCAATAGTCTTTGAAATAAAAATTAAAAAAGCAGAATACCATGAGATACCCACCATATCATTTTCTGTACAGTGAAAGACTATGGTTTCCACTTCATCACCAAACTTTTCTAAAAATCTTCGAACAGTTCCTGTAGAAATCAGTATGGTTTGAATATTGATGACAATGGTTAAAACCAAAAGAGAAAAAAAAATATGTTTCTTTAATTTTGTATTGACAAAATCTACAAAAGAATTAAATATTTATATGATGCAACCAACACCAGGAAAGTTTGCTGTAATATATATATATATACAACCTTTTACTGTGATGCTAATAACTCTGCTGAGTCCAATTCATATGAATTATACGAAGAAAATGAACAGTTTGGATAAAATAAAAGTCTGAGGAATAAAGGGTATATTCAAGGCATAACAGTTTATATAAGAATCTTAAAACAGAACAATGTAACCATACTTAGAAATCTAAAATTGTAGTCTCCCAAACTGAACCTAATCAAGACCAGATACTGAAAGCATGATTAGCTTGACAGCTTCCAATGAAGATACCATTACTATTATGAAATAACCTGTTACTACTGCATGTCTAGTCTTTAACAACATTCAGATTATTCTGAAAGTCGTCATCACTTATAATGCTTTGAACAATTGAACAATTAAATTTGTCATTTTAAGAACTTACCATTCCGAATCATAATACAATTCTTTAACCAGTTAATGCTCACATGACTTGCATGGCCTAATTGATTGACACAAATAATATCAGCACTAGCCGTTGGTCAGAAGAACAAGCTGTATATTTTGAAGTTAAGTACATGTACAACTGTACTCAGAATATAATCCTTTCTATCTGGATACATGCCTACTTACTAATAGCTATGTGTGCTCCGTCCTCAGGAGGATAGCCCCTGCCTGAAGAATGAGCTGGGGTCAGGGCTACACTCTTTATGCTTGTCTCCCTAAAAATTATGAAAAATACATGTATATTTTATATCTTAGGTGTAATACATAGAGGAATTCTGAAAACCTTGATAGGGTCTGTATGATGTTATTAGGATTCTGAATAACACTGATTGAACAAAGAGAAAAAGGTGATTTCTTCATAAATTATCCAACAAATCATTGTGAAAATTATTGCAGTGTCTGTATAAATTACCACCCTCCTTCAGCTGAATTGTTGACCTTGAATACTGGGATGGGTACATACTTAACTTGGTCAGCTGGTTACTATGGGTAAATCCCTAACTAAGTGGGCTGGTAACCAGGTTACATTCCTGACCAGCTGCTAACCATGTTACATTACGGACCAGCCGGTTACCATGTTACATTCCTGTATAAATTACCACCCTCCTTCAGCTGAATTGTTAACCTTGAATACTGGGATGGATACATCCTTAACTTGGTCACCTGGTTACCATGGGTACATACCTAACCTTGTGAGCTGGTAACCATGTTACATTCCTGACCAGATGGTTAATATGGGAACATACCTAACCTAGTGAGCTGGTAACCATGTGACATTCCTGATCAGCTGGTTACCATATTACATTACTGACCAGTCGGTTACCATGTTACATTACGGACCAGCCGGTTACCATGTTACATTACTGACCAGTCGGTTACCATGTTACATCCCTGACCAGCTGGTAACCATGTGACATTCCTGATCAGCCGGTTACCATGTTACATTACGGACCAGCCGGTTACCATTGTACATACCTAAACCCTCCTTCAGCTGAATTGCTGACCTTGAATACTGGGATGGATACATCCTTAACTTGGTCACCTGGTTACCATGGGTACATACCTAACCTGGTGAGCTGTTTACTATGGTTACATACTTAACCTGGTCCGCTGTTTACTATGGGAACATACCTACCCTAGTGAGCTGGTAACCATGTGACATTCCTGATCAGCTGGTTACCATGTTTCATTCCTGACCAGCTGGTAACCAGGTTACATTCCTGATCAGCCGGTTACCATGTTACATTACTGACCAGCTGGTTACCATGTTACATTCCTGATCAGCTGGTTACCATGTTAAATTCCTGATCAGCAGGTTACCATGTTACATTCCTGACCAGATGGTTACTATGGGTACATACCTAACCTAGTGAGCTGGTAACCATGTTACATTCCTGACCAGCTGGTTACCATGTTACATTCCTGACCAGCTGCTTACCATGTTACATTCCGGACCAGCCGGTTACCATGATACATTACTGACCAGCCGGTTACCATGTTCCATTACTGACCAGCCGGTTACCATGTTCCATTACTGACCAGCCGGTTACCATGTTACATTACTGCCCAGGCGGTTACCATGTTACATTACTGACCAGTCGGTTACCATGTTACATTACTGACCAGCTAGGAACCATATTACAATCCTGACCAGCTGGTTACTTTGGGTACATACCTGACCAGCTGGTTACTATGGATACATACCTCATGGTCAGCTGGTTACCATGTTACATTCCTGACCAGCCGGTTACCATGTTACATTCCTGCCCAGCTGGTAACCATGTTACATTCCTGATTAGCAAGTTACCATGTTACATTACTGACCAGCTGGTAACCATGTTACATACCTGACCAGCTGGTAACCATGTTACATTCCTGATTAGCTAGTTACCATGTTACGTTCCTGATCAGCCGATTACCATGTTACATTCCTGATCAGCTGTTTACCATGTTACATTCCTGACCAGCTGCTTACCATGTTACATTCCGGACCAGCCGGTTACCATGTTACATTACGGACCAACCGGTTACCATGTTACATTACTGACCAGCCGGGTACCATGTTACATTACTGACCAGCCGGGTACCATGTTACATTACTGACCAGCCGGTTACCATGTTACCTTACTGACCAGCCGGTTACTATGTTACATTACTGACCAGCCGGTTACCATGTTACCTTACTGACCAGCCGGTTACTATGTTACATTACTGACCAGTCGGTTACCATGTTACATTACTGACCAGCTAGGAACCATATTACAATCCTGACCAGCTGGTTACTTTGGGTACATACCTGACCGGCTGGTTACTATGGATACATACCTAACCAGCTGGTTACTATGGGTACATACCTGACCAACTGGTTACCATTGGTACATACCTGACCAGCCGGTTACCATTGTACATACCTGACCAGCTAGTTGTTATGTGCATATTTGACAAGCTGGTTACTATGGGTACATACCTAACCTAGTGAGCTGGTAACCATGTTAAATTCCTGACCAGCTGGTTACCATGTTACATTACTGATCAGCTGGTTACCATGTTACATTACTGATCAGCTGGTTACCATGTTACATTACTGATCAGCTGGTTACCATGTTACATTACTGATCAGCTGGTTACCATGTTACATTACTGATCAGCTGGTTACCATGTTACATTACTGATCAGCTGGTTACCATGTTACATTCCGGACCAGCCGGTTACCATGATACATTACTGACCAGCCGGTTACCATGTTACCTTACTGACCAGCCGGTTACTATGTTACATTACTGACCAGCCGGTTACCATGTTACCTTACTGACCAGCCGGTTACTATGTTACATTACTGACCAGCCGGTTACTATGTTACATTACTGACCAGTCGGTTACCATGTTACATTCCTGACGAGCTGGTTACCATGTTACCTTCCGGACCAGCCGGTTACCATGTTACATTCCGGACCAGCCGGTTACCATGATACATTACTGACCAGCCGGTTACCATGTTACCTTACTGACCAGCCGGTTACTATGTTACATTACTGACCAGTCGGTTACCATGTTACATTACTGACCAGCCGGTTACCATGTTACCTTACTGACCAGCCGGTTACTATGTTACATTACTGACCAGCCGGTTACCATGTTACATTACGGACCAGCCGGTTACCATGTTACATTACTGACCAGTCGGTTACCATGTTACATTCCTGACCAGCTGGTTACCATGTTACATTCCTGACCAGCCGGTTACCATGTTACATTACTGACCAGCCGGTTACTATGTTACATTACTGACCAGTCGGTTACCATGTTACATTCCTGATCAGCTGGTTACCATGTTACATTCCTGATCAGCTGGTTACCATGTTACATTCCTGACCAGCTGGTAACCATGTTACATTCCTGATCAGCTGGTTACCATGTTACATTCCTGATTAGCTGGTTACCATGTTACATTCCTGATTAGGTGGTAACCATGTTACATTCCTGATCAGCTGGTTACCATGTTACATTCCTGACCAGCTAGTTACCATGTTACATTACTGACCAGCTAGGAACCATATTACAATCCTGACCAGCTGGTTACTTTGGGTACATACCTGACCAGCTGGTTACTATGGATACATACCTAACCAGCTGGTTACTATGGGTACATACCTGACCAACTGGTTACCCTTGGTACATACCTGACCAGCCGGTTACCATTGTACATACCTGACCAGCTAGTTGTTATGTGCATATTTGACAAGCTGGTTACTATGGGTACATTCCTGACCAGCTGGTAACCATGTTACATTCCTGATTAGCTGGTTACCATGTTACATACCTGACCAGCTGGTAACCATGTTACATTCCTGATCAGCTGGTTACCATATTACATTCCTGACCAGCTGGTTACCATGTTACATTCCTGACCAACTAGTTACCATGTTACATTACTGACCAGCTAGGAACCATATTACAATCCTGACCAGCTGGTTACTTTGGGTACATACCTGACCAGCTGGTTACTATGGATACATACCTAACCAGCTGGGTACTATGGGTACATACCTGACCAGCTGGTTACTATGGATACATACCTAACCAGCTGGTTACTATGGGTACATACCTGACCAACTGGTTACCATTGGTACATACCTGACCAGCCGGTTACCATTGTACATACCCGACCAGCTAGTTGTTATGTGAATATTTGACAAGCTGGTTACTATGGGTACATACCTGACCAACTGGTTACCCTTGGTACATACCTGACCAGCCGGTTACCATTGTACATACCCGACCAGCTAGTTGTTATGTGAATATTTGACAAGCTGGTTACTATGGGTACATACCTGACCAGCTGGTTAATATGGGTACATACCTTACCTTGTTAGCCGGTTACCATGTTACATTCCTGACCAGCTGGTTACTATGGGTACATACCTGACCAACTGGTTACCATTGGTACATACCTGACCAGCCGGTTACCATTGTACATACCTGACCAGCTAGTTGTTATGTGCATATTTGACAAGCTGGTTACTATGGGTACATACCTGACCAGCTGGTTACTATGGATACATACCTGACCAGCGAATTGCTATGGGTACATATATGACCATCTGGTTGCTATGGGTACATACCTGACCAGTTGGTTAACATGGGTACATACCTGAACAGCTGATTAATATGGCTACATACCCGACCAGCTGGTTACTATGGGAATATACCTGACCAGCTGGTTACCATTGGTACATACCTTACTAGTTGGTTGATATGTACATACATAACTGACTAGCTGTTTACTATGGGTACAAATTTGACAAGCTGGTAACTATGGGTACATACCTGCCTAGCAGGTTAACATGGGTACATACCTCACCAGCTGGTTACTATGGGTACATACCTCACCAGTCGCAGCACATATCTGTAACAGCTGTATAGGGCACTCTCTGCGGCAGTGACATACTTGATGTTGTAGCGAGGCCCAACTGTGTGAATGATGTACCTGGCCAGTAGTTTATAACCCTTAGTCAGCTTGGCTTCACCCGTCTTACACACTGACAACAAAGTGATCAATATTTAACATCAATATACCGTTGTTAACAACATATCACAATTCATATTAATAACAACAAAATAATTTACCTTTCTTCTAGTCATTATTCAGTATTTGAATATTGTGCCTGTTAAATTTTACCTAACCAAACAGCATGTATCTGAAAATAATCAAACAAGTTTGTGTGCTGTATGGTTAAAACAACTAAAAATGTTATCCAGTGACTAACTATCACCCTTATGTGACCCACACAACAAAACAGATGTGTACAATAATTACCCCAATGGCTATTAGTATTTAAAAAAGGGGTTGAAGCTACAGGGCTATTATACATGCACAGGTCCAACAGTTTTTATGATGGGTAAAATGGGAAGAAATCTTATGAAACATGAAATGCCAAGACAAACAATTCCCTTTTTTCCCAATTCTCAAAGTGTAACTATGTAAATGTGTAGTGGGAGCTTACAAACCTAGCTTACCTCGTAACTTTGTAGTGGGAGCCTACAAACCTAACTTACCTCGTAACTGTGTAGTGGGAGCCTACAAACCTGGCTTACCTCGTACATTTGTAGTGGGAGCCTACAAACCTAGCTTACCTCGTAACTTTGTAGTGGGAGCCTACAAACCTAGCTTACCTCGTAACTTTGTAGTGGGAGCCTACAAACCTAGCTTACCTCGTAACTTTGTAGTGGGAGCCTACAAACCTAGCTTACCTCGTAACTTTGTAGTGGGAGCCTACAAACCTAGCTTACCTCGTAACTTTGTAGTGGGAGCCTACAAACCTAGCTTACCTCGTAACTTTGTAGTGGGAGCCTACAAACCTAGCTTACCTCGTAACTTTGTAGTGGGAGCCTACAAACCTAGCTTACCTCGTAACTTTGTAGTGGGAGCCTACAAACCTAGCTTACCTCGTAACTTTGTAGTGGGAGCCTACAAACCTAGCTTACCTCGTAACTTTGTAGTGGGAGCCTACAAACCTAGCTTACCTCGTAACTTTGTAGTGGGAGCCTACAAACCTAGCTTACCTCGTAACTTTGTAGTGGGAGCCTACAAACCTAGCTTACCTCGTAACTTTGTAGTGGGAGCCTACAAACCTAGCTTACCTCGTAACTTTGTAGTGGGAGCCTACAAACCTAGCTTACCTCGTAACTTTGTAGTGGGAGCCTACAAACCTAGCTTACCTCGTAACTTTGTAGTGGGAGCCTACAAACCTAGCTTACCTCGTAACTTTGTAGTGGGAGCCTACAAACCTAGCTTACCTCGTAACTTTGTAGTGGGAGCCTACAAACCTAGCTTACCTCGTAACTTTGTAGTGGGAGCCTACAAACCTAGCTTACCTCGTAACTTTGTAGTGGGAGCCTACAAACCTAGCTTACCTCGTAACTTTGTAGTGGGAGCCTACAAACCTAGCTTACCTCGTAACTTTGTAGTGGGAGCCTACAAACCTAGCTTACCTCGTAACTTTGTAGTGGGAGCCTACAAACCTAGCTTACCTCGTAACTTTGTAGTGGGAGCCTACAAACCTAGCTTACCTCGTAACTTTGTAGTGGGAGCCTACAAACCTAGCTTACCTCGTAACTTTGTAGTGGGAGCCTACAAACCTAGCTTACCTCGTAACTTTGTAGTGGGAGCCTACAAACCTAGCTTACCTCGTAACTTTGTAGTGGGAGCCTACAAACCTAGCTTACCTCGTAACTTTGTAGTGGGAGCCTACAAACCTAGCTTACCTCGTAACTGTGTAGTGGGAGCCTACAAACCTAGCTTACCTCGTAACTTTGTAGTGGGAGCCTACAAACCTAGCTTACCTCGTAACTTTGTAGTGGGAGCCTACAAACCTAGCTTACCTCGTAACTTTGTAGTGGGAGCCTACAAACCTAGCTTACCTCGTAACTTTGTAGTGGGAGCCTACAAACCTAGCTTACCTCGTAACTTTGTAGTGGGAGCCTACAAACCTAGCTTACCTCGTAACTTTGTAGTGGGAGCCTACAAACCTAGCTTACCTCGTAACTTTGTAGTGGGAGCCTACAAACCTAGCTTACCTCGTAACTTTGTAGTGGGAGCCTACAAACCTAGCTTACCTCGTAACTTTGTAGTGGGAGCCTACAAACCTAGCTTACCTCGTAACTTTGTAGTGGGAGCCTACAAACCTAGCTTACCTCGTAACTTTGTAGTGGGAGCCTACAAACCTAGCTTACCTCGTAACTTTGTAGTGGGAGCCTACAAACCTAGCTTACCTCGTAACTTTGTAGTGGGAGCCTACAAACCTAGCTTACCTCGTAACTTTGTAGTGGGAGCCTACAAACCTAGCTTACCTCGTAACTTTGTAGTGGGAGCCTACAAACCTAGCTTACCTCGTAACTTTGTAGTGGGAGCCTACAAACCTAGCTTACCTCGTAACTTTGTAGTGGGAGCCTACAAACCTAGCTTACCTCGTAACTTTGTAGTGGGAGCCTACAAACCTAGCTTACCTCGTAACTTTGTAGTGGGAGCCTACAAACCTAGCTTACCTCGTAACTTTGTAGTGGGAGCCTACAAACCTAGCTTACCTCGTAACTTTGTAGTGGGAGCCTACAAACCTAGCTTACCTCGTAACTTTGTAGTGGGAGCCTACAAACCTAGCTTACCTCGTAACTGTGTAGTGGGAGCCTACAAACCTAGCTTACCTCGTATATTGTTCTTTAGGTCTGCCAGTAGTTCAGGCCCGGCATTCTCGTATATTTCTTCTGATGTAGGAGTGTTAGCAGAGTTATGGAACTTTTCACTTGTTGAGTGAACGATGGCCTCAACATTCAGTAATGTTATATCACCACACCTACAGTATAACACAACAATTCTTCTTCAGTTTCAGGGATTTTAAACCAAAGACAATAAAACACAATATTTCTTTGTCAGTTTACAACTCCTGAATACAACATTTACAGCCTTTCTATATAAATCAATATGGCAAACTGGAGATTTATTTATTTGGACAATATTTATCTCTTCACCCTGAAAACAAGGAAACATGGTCTTACAAGGATCATTATACATATCTGTCAGTATCAATGAACATAAACACGACGAAGATATATGTTAGTTAACTTAGAGAAGTAGATAAAAGAAGCTGCAAGGTCTAGAAAAGTCTTGTTTCAGGACACAAATCTATGGATCTGCAGGAGATACGAAGAAGTAAGAATGAAAAATATAAAATTACATAAAGGGTTATATTTCCAAAAATATTGCAATAGTACAATATTTGTTGTCTAAAATAAAAATATCTCTTTTCTGACTTGAAAGTGACTAAACACAGAAAATCTCACACAAGATAATTTGAATGGAAAGGTGAATTTTAAGTATATTAAACATAAAAGCGTAGAGTAAAGACGTTTTATGAATTCTGTGCTATATCCTATGTATGGGCATAAAGAAGCTGTTTCAAAATATATGACCCGGATGCAAGGGGTGGGCATAAATCTCACTGGTGAATATGACCATCAATTTCTGTGTGAAAACAACTTTGAACTATAGCGCCATTAAAACATATTAAAACAGTAGTCTTATCACCAGTCAAGTAGAAAGTTGGAATACATTTAAATTATTCACATGCCTCAATTAGATATAAAAAGTGTGTAGATATATGTAGAGGACATTCCATACAATTTAATGTGCAAGGCTCACCCTTGACATGATATTTACCAGACATATCTAGTCTTAAGCGAATTCTATGCTTTGATGACATTTAATTATGATTATAAAGGCTCAAACAAACAAACATGATTATCTAACACCCCTGTGTGACTAATTCTGTCTGTCTGTATATATGGCACATCTCTATCCTATATCAAAATATGGGTATATGCCAGAAAATCTGAACTATTCAGTCACATTTTGCTAAACATGTGACAGACAGACATGTCATGTTCCAATTTATGATCTTAATGTTACAGTACATGCTTATTTTTATCAACATAATCTCAAAGCAATATTGGTCAGAAACCTGAAGTATAGCTCTTCTTCTCCTCCTGTAATGACAAATATTCAATGATGAAATTTGAATGTCACATGTGCTGGATAAATTAATATGTAATAAAGGTACAAGTACAAAATGTCCTTTTTGGAGGTGGGGAATTTGGATTAATAAATTAATCATAACTACATAATTTGTAGATTTAAAATAGATTTTGGTGTTTACTGGAATAATTGATCATCATGAGTGGAAGCTTTTCTAAATTATTTGCTGAGATGACATTCCTCACAATCATCGATACTCTTATAGTCATCAATAAATTCTGAACTAGCTTCTGATTGTATTAATATACATTAATTGGTGGACCACAAATTACAGGAGTCCTGATCACACTTCCTGTTTTTAAATCATGCTTAATTCTTTCTGATATGTTCAAGAAATAACCCCAACAAAACTGTTTGCAGTGCCTCCATCTTTGCGCACCTTGATCTGTTCCTGCAGCTAATGTATCATTAAACCTTTATACAGCCCTGGCTAACCACATATAGGAATTACTGGATCCATCAATGATGTACATGTTTAATACAGTATGCTCAATCCTTACCAAAGCAAGACTTTAGAGTTGAGGTCGCTTCTCCAGGGAAATGGTGTGCTGATTTCCACTTCCTCGCCAGAATTACTGTCTATGGACTCAATATACTCGGGAAGCTGTGTTAGATTCCACTTCGTCAGTTGCTCTATGTCCACAACTCTGGAGCGCGCACCCAGGGGTTCCGGCCCCTCTTCCTCCATGTTTGGGTCAACCAGTAACGGAGTACGTCAAGTAAACAGTACAGTCTAGTCTAATACAGCTGGAAACACTTCAAAAGTCTTCGTTATAACTGGGACCACAGGTAAACGATATCACGGGATTTATGTATCGCAGTCTTAGTTTCTACGTATCATATGACACTCTTTGTGATCGATATGCATATCCAAAACACGCTGATGTAGCTCATTCGTGTATGTTACATAATAAAATGTCGCCAAAAGTATTTCTTTTAAAACGTAACTGATGATACAGTTGTGAAACTAAGTCTACCTAGTCATCAAATCATGTTGTTAAATTCTACTTTCACTTCTTCCTGAAACGTCCTCCATCTTCTCGATCATGTGACTTTTTTTAAATGCTCCCCATTTACTTCCGGTTTATTCTATTCACAGTACAGGGTATAATAGGACTCATTTTAGGAATGTAGATTTTGCCAAATATCCCTATTCTGAAGAGCGACTCCCGATTTTGGACCCTAGAAAAATATTAATCCTAGAAAAATATTCAAATATAACAAAGCCAACTGGAGTAACATCAAGTCAGATCTAGAAAAAACACACAATGAGCTACAAAACCTAGATGACAAAACAAATGTAAAGGATATGTGGAACACATTTAAAACCAATCTTACTGAATGAGTGGAAAACAACATCCCACACAAGTTTCTAACATACAAAAACAGACTACCATGGATTCATAACAACCTCAGGAAAATGATAAATAGAAAAAGAAAAAAAAATATATTATAAGATGAAACAAAACATGAAGTATGCTAATAAGAACAAACATCTTAAAAACAAGTACAAAAGGAACAAAGACTAGCATACTTGGGTTTTATTGAAAAAATGATATTGGACCTGACCAACAGAGTAACAATCAGTCCAAACCTAAAAAACTATTTTCCTTTATAAAATCACTGCTCACAAATAACACAGGTGTTGCTCCTCTGAAAAAAGAAGGACAGTTAATAGCAGACACAAAGCAAAAGGCGGACATCCTCAACACACAGATCCAATCAGTGTTTACAACTGGATCAAATAACAGCATCCCAGACAAAGGTCCAAGCTCACACGCCGTGATAACACCACTAGAAATATCATTACCGGGTGTCAAGAAACTACTGCATAACATAAACCCACATAAGGCAAGTGGCCCAGATAACATCAGTGGCAGAGTATTAAAAGAACTCAAAGATCGAACAGCTCCGATTCTTACACTAATCCTTAAAACATCACTTAAAACTGGCATAACACCAAAAGATTGGAAACATGCAAATGTAGTACCAGTATTCAAAAAAGGGGGAAAATACAAGCCAGAAAACTACCGCCCGATATCATTGATATGTATATACGTATTTCCTGTTAACTTATGGAACATATCATCACCAAACACATCATAAACCATCTTGAAAAGAACAATAAAATACTGTATGGCCTCCAGCATGGCTTCCGTCAGTCTAGATCCTGTGAAACGCAACTCATTTCATTCATTCAAGAACTCGCAGCAAATAATAAAAGCAACACACAAACAGACTTAATTATAATGGACTTTGCCAAAGCATTTGAAAAAGTTCCTCATAAAAGATTGCTCTATAATTTAAACTATTACAATATCCAAAACGAAACACGAAACTGGGTTTCTGCCTTTCTAAGTAACAGAACATAAACAGTTGTCCTGGATGGAGAGTCATCTGACCTGGCTCCAGTCACCTCAGGTGTTCATCAAGGCACAGTTCTGGGCCCAGTATTATTCTTGGTATACATTAATGATCTACCAGAATACTTATCATCCAGTAAGCTCAGACTGTTTGCCGATGACAGTATCATCTACAATACCATCAAATCCCAAAGTGACTGTGATGCACTACAGATACACAGTCCTTACAGTTTCACAAAAGAAAAAAAAACCAGTTTAAACATGACTATATCCTCCACAATCACAAACTTGAACTGGTCTCTTCAGCTAAATATCTGGGCATTACACTACAAGCAAACTTAAAATGGTCAAAACATACAGACAACATCATAGCTAATGGCAACAAATCTTTAGGCTTTCTAAAAAGAAATTTAAAAACATCATGTCACAACATCAAGACTCAGGCATATCTGGCGCTAGTTCGACCAAAACTGGAATATTCATGTACAATAGTATGTGACCCTCACACAGTTGAACAAACTTCTAAAATCGAGATGGTCCAACGACGAGCTGCCAGATATGTCTGTAACAGGTACCATAACATCAGTAGTCCTACAGACAGGATAAAATCACTAAACTGGCCAACACTACAAGAAAGAAGACTACGCACAAGATTAATAATGTTCTACAAACTACTCCATCAAATTATAGCAATCCCATCTGCTATTCTCATACCATCAGACAGTAGAACCCGAAAAATTCATAATTTCACTTTCAGACACATTTCAACCAAAAAAGATACATATACATTTTCATGTTTTCCTTATACCATAACTCAATGGAGTGTGATTACCAATCCATACAGTCACTGTCACAACAGTCGACACTTTCAGAGAACAGCTCACACCAGCTGTTCTCCACAAATTCATTTAATTTTTACAAGACTATGTACATAGTTTTAATCACAATTTAAAATTTATGCATTCCAAATTCATTTTCATAATTTTTGGTATTCTTGTAAATATATATATAGGCCACGCTGCGCAAAACAGTAAATAATCTTCAGATCATTGAAGGACTATTGATAACCTAAAGAAGAAGAAGATTATCTAAGTCCGTGCTAAAAGTGAGCGTTTTCAACTAATGAATTGTTAAGCTACTCCTATTTTCTAAAACCTGATGAAAAACATAAATATGGCCTGGTTTTCAATTCTTACAAAAAAATGAACGATTTTATCTTTAAACAAGAGGCCCAATTTTACAAAGTAATACTCTCATTCACCAAAGATATATTCTGACGAAGTTTGAGTAATTTTCTCCTGAAAATGGATAAAATATACCCAAAAGAGTTATTTCCCTATATAAACTATAGTAAACTTTACCCCCTCCCCAAGGGAGAACGGATAGCTCGGGGGTCCTGAAATTTACAATTTAAATAAAGCCCCTGATGATTTTTTTTCCAGACAGAGAAACTGAATGTAGTACCTCTGAGTCTGGAGAAGAAGATTTTTGAAATATTG